AGTCGCGTGAATCACAAAGGGCGAAAAAGCAAGCAATGCCATCCCTGTCGGTATAGTTCCACATTTCACGTTCACGACGGGTGGCCGTTTCTCGAGTGTCGCTGTCTTCCAGCGACTGATATTAGAGGCACGACAGTTCCGTTGTGTGTTTTTGTGATTGATCACGCGATGCCGTCATTCGATATAATAAGATTCGCTTTAATCTGCTGGGAGATGGAGCTACGTCAGCTTGGTCGCAGATTACTGCATACCGAGATAAAAACTGTTAAACATCGTTCTCGATACTTCCTCCGGTACGATTTCTTTGATGCAACGATATGACATTGCATCTTGGGACTTCGTGAATTGATCCCTTTAGTTATTGTAGCAGAAATTATTATTCTTTACGAATAGCCATGCGTTGGGACACTACGTATGATATTGTGGTGCTTTAAGTTATCGCGCGTTATATCGCCACGCGTCAATTCATCACTCGTCGATTTTCTATGCTTTAATTTACCATTCGTTAATTTCCCAAGCTTTGTATTACCACGCGTTAAATCGCCACGCGTTATATTTCCACGCGTTAAATCGCCACGCGTTATATTTCCACGCGTTATATCGCCACGCGTTATATCGCCACGCGTTTATTCACCACTCATCCACTTCCTACGCTTTATATCGCCACGCGTTAATTTACCACCCGTTAATTTCCCTCACCTTATACCACCACGCGTTATATTGCCACTGTCAAATTTATGGAACTGGGAAATTTGGGAATTGGGGAATTATGGAATTGGGGAATTATGGAATTGGGGAGTTATGGAATGGGAGAGCTATGGAATTGGGGAATTATGGAATTGGGGAATTATGGAATTGGGGAATTGTGGAATGGGAGAGCTATGGAATTGGGGAATTATGGAATTGGGAAATTGTGGAATGAGAGAGCTATGGAATTGGGAAATTATGGAATTGGGGAGTTATGGAATCGGAGAACTAGGGAATTGGGTAGTCATGGATTTGGGAAATTATGGAATTGGGGAATTGGGAAATTGGAAAATTGGAAAATTGAGAAATTGAGAAATTAGGAAACTAGGACTTTGGGAAATTTGAAACATCAGAGTGAGAAATCTGGTGAATTCTCCAATTGGAAATTAAGAAATTAGGAATTAAGAAAATTTGAAAATAAGAAAACGTGTCGATTCAAAAACTAAAAAATTGAAAGAACCCACAAATCAATCTAAAAACGCAAAAACATCTGAACGGAAGCAAATACGTTGTTTCAAATTTCAATCAAGTCCTGTTGGCGATATCTTAACGATATCACCCGATTACCGATAAGAATATCGATAGTCACGCCTTTAACCGGTAACCGTCGATCGAGGCAGTTGGTTCGAATTCTTCGGCACCGAGAAGCGGAAGGGAAAAGGAAAGGAGAAAGTTGCTTTGGTTGTAGTTCGACGAAGTTATCCTTTTTTCATTCGTGTTAATTCTTTGCGTTGGAATTTAATTAGCGGCCGGCTGGGGCGTGCTTATTCAACTCCGCTATTTAAATCTCTCCATCTCCGGCGTATCGCGTGGAAAGACGTTTAAATTTGATTTCCTCGGGAACCATTTAAACTATGGCGTAATGAAAGCGAGTATACCTTGTTGGCCTACGTTCCCGTGTAATCATTCTATTTACCCGGGTCATTATTTCACCGGTATTCTAAGGCGTGTTCGATTTTTGGTGGGAAGATTCTAGCGGGCTCCGTTATGCCTACCATTAATGCTCGATGGAGCGTATAATTTGCCAGATTTTCTCTTTAACATTCTTCAAACCACTTACTCGAATTTATCTTTTACAGATAGAGTTGTTATATTGCCATTGTCGGAATTTTTGCTACTAGTAATTTTAAAAATTCGAAATAATCAAGAAATATAACGCGTGATTGGTTATGTGAATTAATACATGTTCAATAGTACCTACGCCTTTTTTACCAATTCTTCATCTCAAACCTACACCTCCGTAAATCTGTTGTAAACAGTATTACCGTCATATCGCATCAGCAATCAGTCAACAAATTATAACCGATCGTTTCGCGGCCGTTTTCTATATCGCCGCGAGCGAATCGTCCCGATCAGGTACAAGCATCTGGATGGTCAGGTGGTCCAATTTCAGACGGTGAACGAGGAGGCAAAAGAAGCAAAATGTCGGACGGGACGAGACGAAAACGCCAGTAATGGCAGAGGAGGAGAGGAAGGCGGAGGACAGTACGTCAAATTGATCCATATTAATAAGAACGATGGTGGTGGTTCGCGTTGTCGGATTTTTGCATAAATTTGAATCGGGCCCAGCCCGGCAAGGGTTGCGAATTTGAATAATCGAGAATAATTCCGAAGTTTTCTCACCGTGTAAACGCGGCCCGACGTAATCAGCGCCGGCTTCGAAATATTTCGTGTAACGCTTCCGCCCGCGAGGATACGCGGCTAATTAACCGGTGGACAGCTACCTGGCCATTGGAAAAAATACGCTTCGCTCTATGAATTTCCTTCCGCGTCACTGTGCTCCTTTTTCTTCCACCGCCTCGTTTCGTGGACACACGGAACCGCCTGTTTGCGATTTTAATGAATCTTAATCATGCGATAGGCTCGTTTTATTTCGCGTCTCGATATTTTCGCGTTGACGTTCTCGCTGATTTCCGGTGTTGATTCAGTTTGCGAATTCTGGGAAGGTTTCGAATAAAACGAGGATATTTGAAAACCAAGGACTTTTTCTTTTCATAAAAATTCACTCCGTAAAGTCAAAATTAAAATTGCGCAATAAAATTCATTTCGTATAACATGAGGATTCTTTTAATGAAAATTCACGCGTTAAAGTAAAAATTCATTTCTAATAAGAGATGCTTCAAAACCGAGGACTTTTTCGTTTAATAAAAATTCACTCTGGAAAGTAAAAATAAAAATTCTGCAAAAAAATTCATTTCAAATAAAATGAAGATGCTTCAAAACCGTGGACTTTTTCTTTTGACAAAAATTCAGTTGATGAAGTCAAAATAAAAATTCTGTGCACATAGTGCAGTGCACTATAAATTATTAGGTATATCAGCCACAACTAATCATGATCACAATATTAAAACAAGCAAAGTAAGTTAAATTTGCAATTGTTAAGTATGCAATTGTTGACTATGACAATTATTGGACTTGAATTCTAAATTGAAATTGAAAGTCGAGATAAAGTATTTAAAATTGAGCTAAAGTACTGAGAGTCAGTATTCAGAGTGCGTCACGAGTGCGTCATAGTGTATCACAAGTGCGTCACGAGTGAGCCACGAGTGCTTCAATTCGATACGTGGTGAATTGCCGCGTGGTAATTCGATATGTGGTGAATTGACGCTTGGTAATTCGACGCGTGATAATTCAACACGTGGTAATTCAACGCCTGATAATTCGAAGCGTGATAATTCAACGCGTGGTGAATTCGACGCGTAGTGAATTCGACGTGAGATAATTCGACGCGTGGTAATTCGACGCGTGATAATTCAACGCGTGGTGAATTCGACGCGTGGTGAATTCGACGTGAGATAATTCGACGCGTGGTAATTCGACGCGTGGTAATTCGATGCGTGGTAATTCGACGCGTGGTAATTCAACGCGAATTGACGCATGGCAATTCAACGCGTCGTAATTCAACGCGTAGTAATTCGGTGCGTGGGAATTCAACGCGTAGTAATTCGGCGCGTGGTAATTCAACGCGTGGCAATTCAACGCGTGGTAATTCGACGCGTGGTAATTCAACGCGTGGTAATTCGACGCGTGGTAATTCAACGCGTGGTAATTCGACGCGTGGTAATTCAACGCGTGGTAATTCGACGCGTGGTAATTCAACGCGTGGTAATTCGACGCGTGGTAATTCAACGCGTGGTAATTCGACGCGTGGTAATTCAACGCGTGGTAATTCGACGCGTGGTAATTCAACGCGTGGTAATTCGACGCGTGGTAATTCAACGCGTGGTAATTCGACGCGTGGTAATTCAACGCGTGGTAATTCGACGCGTGGTAATTCAACGCGTGGTAATTCGACGCGTGGTAATTCAACGCGTGGTAATTCGACGCGTGGTAATTCGACGCGTGATAATTCAACGCGTGGTGAATTCGACGCGTGGTGAATTCGACGTGAGATAATTCGACGCGTGGTAATTCGACGCGTGGTAATTCGATGCGTGGTAGTTCAATACGTGGTGAATTGACGCATGGAAATTCAGCGCGTCGTAATTCAACGCATAGTAATTCGGTGCGTGGGAATTTAACGCGTGGTAATTCAACGCGTAGTAATTCGGCGCGTGGTAATTCGATATGTGGTGAATTGACGCTTGGTAATTCGACGCGTGATAATTCAACGCGTGGTGAATTCGACGCGTAGTGAATTAGTAATTCGGTACGTGGTGAATTGACGCATGGTAATTCGACGCATGGTAATTCAACGCGTAGTAATTCGACGCGTGGTAATTCGACGCGTGATAATTCATAATTCGATGCGTAGTAATTCAGTACGTGGTAACTCGATACGTGGTGAATTGACGCGTGATAATTCGATATAAAAAATTAAAACATCGAATCATTCTTAAAAAAAAATATTACAAACATTATACAGGAAATATAAAAATTAAAATTAAGAATATAAAAGTGGTTCGAAACTCCGCGCACGTTTTCATAAATTATCGATAATTATGCTGATAGCTTCTTAACCGAACAGTAACATCGGTTGCGGAAGCTCTTAAATACCGTTAAAAAGGACCTGGCTAAAAACTCGGTATTGAAAGTTGGGGGAAATTTAAATTCGATCACGATGAGGCTTGTTACGCACGCGTTATTCCGTAATTCCACTTTTCGGAAGTTAACTTTCGAACTTCGCGGTTCACCAAGAAACTTCTGGCTCGATCGGGACCGAGAACTTTATCCGCGTGCACTTTGTTTTCCCTGATCCCCCGATGAAAATCTGTTACTACTTTTTCATCGTGTCTCTCGATTTTATGTTCCAGGAACGTCCGGGAAGATTTCGAACCGAGCTTCATTGTTTGCTCGTAAAAGAGGAATCGTCCGAAAGTCCGAAGGTGAGTCATCTTTTTCACTCGAAATTTCAGCGTGTACGGAGCGTATCGAGAAATCGAGTTGGAAGATACGAATTTTTATTTCGATTTATCTTTGGAGAGATATAGGAGAAATGACAGAGTAGATTTATGGCAAAACTCTGTTATAATTATTAGACAAATACTTTGAGATTATTTGATTTATTGAATGAAGTCTGTCATGTTTGTAACGAGATAGAGAACAAATATTTCGAGAAAGTAAATACTTGTTTAAATCATTCAGTACGTTATCTAAACCACTACTTGCTTTCAAATAGAAGTTAAAAAATATATAAAACGATAAGACATGAACTAGTATATGAATTCTCTACCTAGAACATCACTACAGATTTCAAATCACACTAACAAATTTTGTAACCAAGAAGTTTGTCATTTGATGAATAAGTGATGGTTACTTGATCGGTTCAGTAACAGCATATACGTAAGTGTAGGGTCAAGAACGCACCACGAAAGAGCAAGGTTCAGCCTACTTAAAATTCTCCGTTAAATCGATCGTTGGCAAAAAGCAAAAAAAAGAGTCGTCGAAAGGAGACATTCTGAATACATTCGTCCGGCATTCGAGGGAAGTCGTGGACGACCGCTAAAGGAACAATCGTTCGTCGAACGGAATCGGGAAACAAAGTATTTGGTCGGGAAAGAAAATATTTGGCGACCGCGTCACGCGTCCTTAGAGATTGCACGCGAAGACGAGTGGCGGCAACGGAATATCGCGGATTCGTCGAATTTCGTATTCCCGGATGGTAGGCTAGTCAGCTTCTGACAATACCGTCCAACTGACGTCGACGTATGTACCCAGCATGTACATCTAACTCTACCCTGACGAATGTCCGCCTGACCCTGTTCTAGCAATGCCTTTGAACGCACTGAAAACATTTGTTCAAAAATTCGATCACGATTCTGTATTCATTCTGATCACTTATTTACAACACTGAGTCATTCGCTTATTTGATCAGTCATCAGTTTTTATGAGTTTGTCAAACTCATTTTTATTTATTCGGATTCATTGTGGAACTATTCATCTCAATTTTTTGGAGGTGCAATTAATTTGTTTGATACCAATGTTCAGTTGTGTGAACTCACCGTTTCATCAGTGATCACCTACCTTTTTTTTGAGTTTGTCAATGGAGGTTTGTAAAGCAGATAAATTTTACAAACTTTACATTGTTATACAAAAGACAATTTTGCTAGTTCTGGTAGTTAAGGTTTTTGCTTCAATCAAACAGCACAATCCAAGCTCCACATATTCTCCACAGGAGAACTGTTCATATCGATCACCAACGTGGTTGAAAATTAAAGATAGTAGAAAGAAATATAGATTTACTGCTTTCCTTAAAGCTTATCCTTAAATAAACACCTCATCTTGTGGTTCATACCTAGCATCTCAAATAGTCTATGTCTGTACTCAACTGACGACTTAATACGTCACAAAGTCATGTCGATTAACAGCAAGTTAAACACTGATTTATTATAATGCTTTACAACATCAGAAATCTAGGTTATCCAATATCGAATCTTCCTTTAAGTCTGATGTCTTAAAAAATTCCTTCAAATCCTTTGTTGCACGGGGTAAAAGTAAAAAAAGCGTTGCTTCGATGAATCCGCGCATGAAAAATTCGTGTGGGAGACAATGTGAGTTGATTTGGAAAGGTGTATCGATGGGCCACCGGTTGGGTCAGCGGAACGCCACGTATCCGCGAGCGAACAAGAGAAAAGGAGAAAGAGAGAGGTGAACGAGAACGAGAGAGAGGGCGGGAGAGTAAAAAAGAGAGCGAACGGTCGCGAGGCATTTTGTTTCCGATCGTTGCACGAATGAGCCGGCAAATTGGAGCCGAATTTAGCCGGCTTTTGCGAGCCGTTTAAACCTTTCGCTATGCCGCAGCGCGCTCGTAGAGTTTGCTGCACGCAAATGAAGAATTGTCAGCCAAATACGGTTCGAGAGTGGTAAGGGGCGGTGGTAGAGGGATGAATGGGGCGTAATGCCGGGTCTACCCTGATTGTTGCCCTCTTCTCCCTTCCTCGACCTCTCGAATCCATCGGAATTTCCACTACGAATTTCCGTCGGTGCCTGCGACGTCACTTCCGTCCCAGGGACAAGCGGAATCGTCTGGTTACCGGTCGACGCGCCGTGTTTCGACCACGATTTTACAAACTCTTTGGACACCTTGAGACGGGGCTTTGCTGGGGACTGAACTGGGACTTTATGTGGATGCTGAGATTTTTGCTGTGACTTATTGCTGACAGATCTCAAGTCTACAACCTTGTTATTTTGGTTACCAGTTGTGACTATTGTCAAGTATTAATACATTAAACATGACGTTGTTATTATAACAAACCACTCTGCTAATTAAGGCTCTCTAGTTAAGGGCCACACTGAATGTCATCACATGCTAATGGCTGACAGTCCCAGCACTCCCTCAGTATAATACACCCTACACAAGTTAAATAAAATATTAATTATATCGCTAGAAGTGCCTAAACTGACTCACTGCCATTCTCATTGTACTTACACCCCACATAAATAAAACATTTCAAATTGTACCTAAACGTACGGTATCCGCCAATTATATCTGTATTATATCTGCATTCGCCAAATATTAATTATATCTGTAATTATAACGAGTGGTTACTCGTTACAGACCTAATAGCTAATAGCTATTTCAAGGGTCGAATAAAATATTAATTAATCTGAAGAAGGGAGCCATTACCGAAGAAATGAAGGCACGTTTACAAGCATCAAACGATCTCACGTCGCGCACGATTTTCACGGAACCGTGTATTCGTGCTTTTCCCAGAGGCAGCACACCTGGCCACGCAACCTCCTCGACGAAGAAAGGCAGTCACGGTCTTTAAGAGCATTATTCGACGTTTTCGAGGTTTTTAGACGAAATTCACCGCGGTCAGAGCACGGCCTGTCAGCGATCGTTTGCCTCAAATTGACCGCGTTCCCTTTTCAACGGCGAGCGCGACCGATTGTCAAAGTTCACCGGACTGTGAAAGACATGGGGCGATATTGTATGGGAATTTCATTGGCCTCTGCCTACCGATCCCCCTCGCTGTCTCGAATAATCGAATAAATAGCATGACCGGTCAGCCAAATCGACGAGGCTTCGTTTATACGAAGGAAACTGAATTTCGACACCGGAGTGCAGTTATGGTCGTTTCTTCTTACGATTATTATGTCTATTTCTATTATTATGGTTTTCGGGATGTGTTGATTTGGAGAGGTTCTTTGGAGATTGAGATGGGAAGAGCGGATGAGGGATTTGAGGAGATGGGAATTTGCAGATTAGGGAATTTGGAAATTAGGGAAATTAGGGAAATTAGGGAAATTAGGGAAATTATGGAAATTATGGAAATTGAGAAATTTTGGTGTTTTGAGGTTGAGAATTTTTTAAGTTTGAAAATTTGGAATTAGGGAGTTATGGAATTGGGGAGTTATGGAATTGGGGAGTTATCGAATTGGGAAATTATGGAATTGAGGAATTAGGGAATTGGGGAGTTATGGAATTGGGGAATTATGGAATTGTGGAATTATGGAATTGGGAAATTATGGAATTGGGGGATTACGGAATTGGAAAATTATGGAATTGGGGTACTATGAAATTGGGGAGTTATGGAATTGGGGAACTATGGAATTGGGGAATGATGGAATTGGTGAATTATGGAATTGGGAAATTATGGAATTGGGGGATTACGGAATTGGAAAATTATGGAATTGGGGTACTATGAAATTGGGGAGTTATGGAATTGGGGAACTATGGAATTGGGGAATGATTGAATTGGTGAATTATGGAATTGGGAAATTATGGAATTGGGGTTTATGGAATTGGGAAACTATGGAATTGGGGAACTATGGAATTCGGGAGTTATGGAATTGGGGAATTATGGAATTGGGAAACTATGGAATTAGGGAATTATGGAATTGGAACTTATGGAATTAGTGAATTATGAAATTGGTAAATTATGGAATTGGGAAATTCAGAAGTAGGAAATTAGGAAATTAGAAAGTTGGGAATAAGGGAATTGGAATTCCCACAAATCCAAAAAAGTACAAAATCAGAAACTCAAAATTCCTCTACCAAAAATCAGTCTATCATAATTGTCATCAATCGCCCCTTCCAACGATCAATCACACTAATATTCCGAAGATTCGGTAAGCAACAAGGGAGCATTTTCGATGAGAAAGAGTCGTCAACTGTTCCCACGAGCAAACGAAACGAAATTAGCCGCCATTGGGGCGCGTTAACGATCGTAAAACGCGAAAGTAGCGTGAAACACGAAAGAGCCAGTTGGTTTGTCGATGGTGGAGGCTCGAGGGTGGCGCGGTAAAACAGCTCGGTGCCATTTTGCGACCGAGGATCACGTTGAAACATACCGGAAACAATGCCACGACACCGTGTACGTAATACAATATCGCGAATGGTTACGCGTGTCATTATCCTACGCCCGTTATCGCGAGTATATACGACGCGGTTCAAGCGACAACGGAAAGAACAATTTTCCTACGAGTTTTTCTGTCGATCGCGTTACTCGTGCAGCTGGATCTACCTTGCCGGAGCTCTAGAGACAAAGGCTCTAGGAAACACCGCGGGAAATTTAAAATATAATTTCGAATTTCATTGTCATAATTTCTTTTTATTGGAGTTTGATTCATAAATTTAATTGTGTTGAATTTTTTATATATTTGGATGTATAATAATGATATTTCATAATCTTAATAATAAAATCGAGGTATTTTGTATAAATATGTAGATCAGAATAGAACTTCAAGATAGAACATAATATTGAAATTGTAAATATATCTTCAAGTTGAAACTTCAATGCTGAAATTATGAACTTGTCGTCATTAATGACCGATGAAAAATATTCGGTTTAAATAATTTTTAGTTGCATGTAGTTTTCTTTATCTCCAATTAACTGCACTCCGATCAACCTGTCAATTAATTACGAAGTTAAAATCTTCC